ATATTGATCAAAATTTTGTCTAAAGTAACTAATTTTTTTTTCTTTTGCTTTATTGGTTGATGAACTAGAAAAGTTTCCAAAGTAGTATTTTCAATATTCAACAATTGTTGTAGTGTAATTCTTCCAGTAAGAAGAGCATTAATTTGAGTAGTAGACTTCATTTCTTTTGAGCGACTTGTGTATTTAATGACAAAATCTTTTATATAACAGTATGCCAATTCGAATTCATACAAAAATCTCAAGGACATTCTTCGATATAATTCTGAATTGTAAGAACTAATTTCAACTTTATGAAGTGATTTGTAGCACATACTCATAAGAGAAGAAAACATTAATATTTGTTGATTATTTGAGTTTGTTAATAAAGATGTATTTGTTAAAATATTAGATGGTAATTCCAGAACTTTTCGCAGCAAATTAATTTGATCTCGTAAGTTACTATCATCAAATTCTGACAGAATTGATGCTGTAGGCTCCTGCTCTTCCTGATATAAATTTGTACCAAGTGCTCCACTAATTAATGAAGAATCAAATTGTAATATTTTTGAAGTTGAGCTTTGGTGTATTATATTTTTCAAATGTTTCTTTATATTATTATAAAAATCTGATTTACAAACTTGTGCATTGTCATCAAAAAATGGTGCAATAACTGGAAGCCCTTGTTCTAATAAGAGAAATTCTTTATACAGTTTTGCAGCCTTTAGCTTATTACCAGTTAAAGTAATATCAGATTTAAATCCTGCAAAATTAAAAACTATGATTAGTAAATATTCATTTTTATAAAAGAATTTATTTATTTATTTATTTATACATACGTTTTTTACTGGTTTGTAATTCTTTAATCTTTCTTTTTTTATTTACTATTTCTTCTTTATCTTCATCGTCATTATCTCCAAATTCGTCATCGTTATCTTCAAATTCGTCATTGTTATCTCCAAATTCATCGTTGTTATCTCCAATTTTGTCATTATTTCCAAATTCTTCGTCGTCGTTATCTCCAAATTCTTCTTCATCGTCTTCTATCTCTTCTATCTCATTACTTTCTTCCATTTGTTACTCTCTTCTTTCCCTCTATTAATTTACCATTTTCAACGTTTTCTTCAAACTCATCTTCACTTTCCTCTGCCATACGAATTTTAATTTTTTTTGCTATACTCTTTTCTATATTATTGCTTTTCCTTTTGTCTTGGTTGCCTTTATTATATGGGGGAGTCAATAGAAAAGGGACAAATTTTTTCTAAGTAAAAGTTTTCTTGACTTTAGCTTAAATATCTTAGCAATTATCTTATTAAATTTAATAAATTTTTTTTATTTTAATTCTATTAATTTCAAGATTAAAATAAAAAAATTTTTAACAATTTTGATTAAATAGTTGTTGAGATATTTTAATTTAAAAATTAAAAAAAAATTACTAAAAATGATTTGTCCCTTTTCTATTGACTCACCTCCATATAGAGACAGATAAATCAGATAATGCAAAAAAATAGGCTTTATAAAGTTAATTGTAGGGTTGTAACCCTGATACATATAATACACAAGTTGATAAAGACTTTGAAGAAAAATAAATTGCATATGATACCATAAATTAAAAACCATAATAATATATTTAAATCGATGGCCAAACGGGAAAATTTTAGAACAGAATCAGTTGTGATGCCATACCCTTAGTTCCTGGTATTACCTGATAATCAATTTATCTTTAGTTATCAATATTCGAACCTGGTTATACTGTATCTGATTAAAAGACTTAAATGTTTTGAATAATTTAAAGTTTTAATTAATAGTATATTAAATGTATATAAATTTATTTAATAAATTGGTAGTTTGAAGTTTGACACTATTTACTGAAATAGGATATATATTTGGGTTTTGGTCATGAATCCAAATTAAGTAGAAATGCCAATTCCCAAACCCAAACTAAATAGTAATACTATAATTTTAAAAAAAGGTTTGGGTTGCAACTCTAGTTAACTGCCTATTGAGTAGATATAACAATTTTGAAAGCCATTAATAAATGAGCTTGATTGATAAAAAACTTTAAACAAATTATAAATGTTATTTATACTTATAACTAAATCTTAAACAGTCTATAGAGTAAAATTTAATGTAAAATGAAAGGCATTCACAAATACTTGTGAATTAAATAAGGAACCTAAAAATAACTATTTAATAATAAATAGATACTAAAATAAGCTTAAATCGAAGCATTAATCGAATAATTATAATAACCATTATACTTACCAGACTAATATGAGCTAAATGATCCAAAAGGCACTTTTAACTATAAAACTTATAAGCATGGGTCATTTAGGTTCCAAATATAATTAATATTTACACTCACAATGTGAATTAAGCAACCTAAGAAGTACTATTAAAATAGGAATTTAGATTGGATCATTAATTAATTTTAAGATTTTAAACATAAATAACAAATTAAATCTTGTACTCACCAATATAATGCAGATTAAATGAACTGAATAGTGCTATATGAAGGGCAAGCATTATATAAGATTAATTTACAGAGAATAAGTAAGATTAGTGCTTGGCACAATCAAACAAAAATTTGACAGTCAAATACTTGTGACTAAGTTAGACATCAAACAAATCACAGATTAACCAATACTATATATACATATATATATACATATGTATAATGTAGTATTCATTAACTTGCACTTGTTTGATGTCCAACTTAATCACAAGTACTTGACTATCAAATTTTTTTTTTGATTGTGCCAAGCACTAAGTAGGATAATAGAGGGTTTCAGAATAAACTTATTTCGAAAATGTATCAGTGTTTAAAAAAAATCATATTTTTTGTTTAAATTCTAAATTAGAAAATTAAATAAGTAATACTCAGGTGATAAATGTAGATTTTTTCAATAAATATCTTTAGTAAAAGATTATGTAAACAAGTATAAGGTGAGGGTGGGTATTATGACGCAGGTGGGTATTGTGATGCACTCACGTTTTCTGATGATATCTCGTGATTTACTGATCGGAATTGAGTAATATTGATATTATAGATTCCTCTTACTGAGACGAATCAAACGATATTAAATTTGTTTTATTTGAAGCGATAGTTTTCAATTTACAACC